CCAGCTAATTTGAATCCAATTATCCTTTAGCTCACTGCGTTCCAGTTAAATGCGTGAGTTTTATCTTTGTTTCTGTAACGTTCATTCACCCGCCCTATGTATCTAGCACTGGCATTGCTTACCATTTTTTTCAAAACTTGTTCCAACTGCCTTCCTCATCCAGTTGGTTCACACTCACTGCAGCTGAAGCGGGGTCTCCCTGGCCCCTGGGGGCCTCCCCAGCACTGCACAGGTGGCATAGGGCTTCATCCAGGAGACACAACATGCTGTAGCAGCAGAGAGAAGGGAGCAACCAATTACACCTTCTCCTTCTGAGGATGAGGCCAGAAGAAAGCAAAAGGGCAGAAGGCCTTTTCTTTGAATTGAGAAAAAAATTAAACAGATTTATTTTTTTATTGCAGTGACTGAGGAAAACACAAGAGCTGTCCTCGCTGTGCCTCTTCATGCCTCCATTCCTCTCTCTCTCTCACCTCCTCCTGTCTACAGGACTCTTCTCTCCCACCCTGCCTCCACCCTGAATTCAGAGTTTTCTTTGGCCTCTTGCAGCCTCAGTTTCTTGAGCTATAAAATTCAAAAGAAGATGAACTCTATCTCTAAGATTGCTTCCAGGTCTAAAATTCTGTGATTCTGTAAATAATCAAAAGTACTTAACCACGTCTCTGAAATATAAAAGGACTCTTAAACATGAGTACTGCATTTTTATTCTCCTTTAGTGAATTGACTAGAGTGCGAGTTTCAAAGACGGCTGAAGTGGACCGCAGATGACAGCGTCCACCACCTAGACCATCACATGATCCACTTCTTTCTCCAAGTAATATTTCGGAACTTACAACAAATGTGCTATAAAAAGAGATGGTTTCATACACAAGGCTTCACTCAGGGAATTCCTTCTTAGGGTCTCTTTTAAGGGACTCCCTCTAGTCACTTGGAAATGAAAGCCAACATCCCAGTAAGACGTGTAACATATCAAAATTCCAACTCAACCATCACTCTCTACCTGCCTCCACGCCCCATTTCACTAGTCCAAATGGTTGGCTTCAAACCCTTCTTACTGCTGTCCACAAAGAGAAATACATTTTACATTCAGACCCAATACATATACTACATAACATACACACAGATAGTTATTTACAACTGGAAAAAAATGCAGCACACTCTCTGATTTTCTTTCTATTCTTTTTGTTGTTGTTTTTAATGCTAATCACAACCCACTAAAATCATTTCAGGACCCACTAATGGGCTGCAAACTATAGTGCGAAAAAACCTGTGCTAGACAGAACTATCCTTGTTTTATGTTTGTATTTTAACATCTGTCTAGTTTTCTAAGTCGTGACCTCGCAAGTACAGTATTTGAGCAGATCAACTTTGTACACTGGCCACACATGAACACAGATTAGTACTAAAATCAAAAACTTTAGAGCAAAGTGAATTCAGCGTATTCAGTGATCTGTAGATAAAGGAAATTAAACACGAAGCAGTTCACTAAAAGTATTAACATCTTGAATATCCGGGAGAAAGTGATGCCTTAGGAAAAAAACTTCTCTACTTTGAGAGAAGATCCTTTGAAAGGCAGAAGTCATGTCACCCCAAGCTGCTGGCTGAATTACTGATGTTGCTCTCCTTGGTATAAGTCCTACGTTAATTATTGTCTCACTCCTACTCAGCTAATAGAGGTATTATAGTGGTAAGAATGAAATCTTGGGGTAGCATCTTTCTCATTTGGGGGGTGATCATTTGAAAGAAAAGACAAGAACCAAATAGGGTAATGTGTAGATGCTATGCTACTAAGAGGCATTTCATGACTCCAGTGAGTATTAGGAAAATGATTATTTGCAAAGATAGCGAACAGAAAGGTTAGGAGACTTATGCTTATAAATGAACATGATTGAACATTACCCTTATTAGGTGTGGGGGCCCCCAAATGCAGGTGGGATGGCAAAGAGAGCTAATGTATATTTTAAAGATGTTTCAGGAGGTGCTAATTCAGAGGAACTCACTTGGAAACTAAGTAATTTTTTTTCATTTTTTTAATGGTGGTAAAATACACATAAAATTTACTATTTTAGGGGCCGGCCCCGTGGCGTAGTGGTTAAGTGCACACGCTCCACTGCTGGCAGCCCGGGTTCAGATCTCGGGTGCGCACCGATGCACCGCTTGTCAGGCCATGCTGTGGCGGCGTCCCATATAAAGTAGAGGAAGATAGGCACAGATGTCAGCCCAGGGCCAGTCTTCCTCAGCAAAAAGAGGAGGATTGGCATGGATGTTAGCTCAGGGCTGATCTTCCTCACACACACACACAAAAATTTACTATTTTAATCATTTTGCAGGGGGAGGAGATTGGCCCTGAGCTAACATCTGTTGCCCATCTTCCTCTTTTTTTCCTTTTTTCTCCCCAAAGTCCCAGTATATAGTTGTATATCCTGGTTGTAGGTCCTTCTAGTTCTTCTATGTGGGATGCCACCTCAGCATGTCTTGATGAGCAGTGTGTAGGTTTGCACCCAGGATCCGAACTGGCGAACCCCAGACAGCCAAAGCGGAACACATGAACTCAACCACTATGCCACCGGGTTGGCCCCTATTTTAATCATTTTTAAGTGTACAATGGCATTTAGTATTTAGTTTAAGTGGCATTAAGTACATTCGCAATGTTTGCAACCATCGCTACTATCTATTTCCAGAGCTTTTTCATCATCTCAAACTGAAACTCTGTACCCATTAAGCAACAGCATCCCATTCTCCCTCTCCCCAAGCCACTGGTAACCTCTGTTCTACTCTGTCTCTATGAATTTGCCCATTCTAAGTCCCTTATGTGCGTGGAATCATACAATATTTGTCTTTTTCTGTCTGCCTTATTTCACTTGCTCGCCAATGTCTTTTAGTCCACCTCTTTTCGCCTTAGGTAAGCCAGAGCTAAGTGATTTTTTTATTTTTTTTTCTTTTTATTTTTTTATTTTTTTTATTTTTATTTTTTTTTT